TATAGGGATGCGGATCTAGATAATATTGAAAGGCCAGGACTTGGACTTCTGGGAATGGGAAACATGATAAAATTATCTGTAATTTTCCACAATCAATGACTAGTTGTTTTTTAAAAAAAAGGAATTATCTGTAATTGTGCTTTTTTTTTTTTTTTTTTTTGAGACAGAGTCTCGCTCTGTTGTCCAGGCTGGAGTGCAGTAGCGATTTCAGCTCACTGCAAGCTCCTCCTCCCGGGTTCATGCCATTCTCCTGCCTCAGCCTCCTGAGTAGCTGGGACCACAGGCAACTGCCACCATGTCTGGCTAATTTTTCTTTTTTTTTTTTTTTTGAGACGGAGTCTCGCTCTGTCGCCCAGGCTGGAGTGCAGTGGCACGATCTCCACTCACTGCAAGCTCTACTGCCTCCCGGGTTAACCCCATTCTCCTGCCTCAGCCTCCCTGGAAGCTGGGACTACAGGCGCCCGCCACCACGCCTGGCTAATTTTTTTTTTTTGTATTTTCAGTGGAGACGGGGTTTCACCGTGTTCGCCAGGATGGTCTCGATCTCCTGACCTTGTGATCTGCCCACCTCGGCCTCCCAAAGTGCTGGGATTACAGGCGTGAGCCACTGCGCCCGGCCCAATTTTTTGTATTTTTAGTAGAGATGGGGTTTTCACCATGTTAGCCAGGATGGTCTGGATCTCCTGACCATGATCCGCCCACCCTGGCCTCCCAAAGTGTTGAGATTACAGGTGTGAGCCACCGCGCCCGGCCGTGATTGTGTTTTTTGAGACGAAGTCTCACTCTGTTGCTCAGGCTGGAGTGCAGTGGTGTGATCTCAGGTCACTGCAACCTCCACCTCCCGGGCTCAAGTGATTCTCCTGCCTCAGCCTCCTGAGTAGCTGGGATTACAGGTGCCTGCCACCATGCCCGGCTAACTTTTTGTATTATAATTGTTTCTTAAAGGAATACGAGAGGCCGGGCACATTGGCTCATGCCTGTAATCCTAGCACTTTGGGAGGCCGAGGCGGGGGGATCACAAGGTCAGGAGTTCGAGACCAGCCTGGCCAACATGGTGAAAGCCCGTCTCTACTAAAAATACAAAAATTGACCTGGCCTGGTTGCATGCATCTGTAATCCCAGCTACTCGGGAGGCTGAGGCAGGAGAACTGCTTGAACCCGGGAGGCGGAGGTTGCAGTGAGTTGAGATCATGCCATTGCACTCCAGCCTGGGAGACGAGGGCTAGACTCTGTCTCAAAAAAAAAAAAAAAAAAAAAAGGAAGACGAGGTAGTAATCTAAGTCATAAAGATAGTGCTACTGGGTGAATACTCTCTCCTGAAGCTGTAAGTTGTGTGGCAGCTGAGGCAGCAAGCAAAGGCCTCTAGGGGAGCCGATCTTGGGTAACTGAGCCCAGGCCCTTCACCTCCCCCAACTGTCCCCTCTCGTTTGTACCTGGGGTGCGTCTCCGGTCAATCAGGGAGTCCTTTGGTGTCACTGGTTCATCATCAAAATCAAATTCCGTGGGCATGTGTGGTCTGGGACAGGTGAACAGAGTGAAGGGTGAGGGCGGTTCTCCCTCCCACCCACACCTGTGCTTCTCCCCTGCCCGGTTCCTCCTCCCCCGCTGGCTTCCCTCCCTCCACTTTCAAAGGTTCCAGGGTCCCACATTTTCCCTCCTTATTTCCTCCCGCCATCAGGGGAGCAGCCCAGGAACAAGGTGTAAGAGTGTGTCTTTACTTTTCCTCTTCCTCTTCTTTGGCCTCCGGCTCCTCATCGGATCTCTCCTCTTCGCTCTGGGCCTCCGGCGTGGGAGGCCGGCGGGGCAGGATCTCGGCCTGCAGCTCCAGGGTACCGTGGGCAGCCAGCAGTTCATAGAGCCGCTGGATTTCGGAGGGCGGGGGCATCCAGGGCTGCCCATCTGCGGGCAGCTCCACCTCCTCGTCGCTGCAGGGCACGCACCAGTCATCGGAGTCCTCCTCCGCAGGCTCTTCCCTACCCGCGCTGGGGACTTCTCCCTGCGCCTCCTCTTCCCCGGACCCCTCACGCTCAGTCTCCTCTCGGCCTCCTTCCTCCTCGTCCTCGGCCTTACCGGCCGAGGCAGAGGGGCCTCCGGTATCCTCCACGGCCAGAGCCTGGAGGCCGGAGGTCACTTCCCCTTCTTCAGACAGAGGCGCCGCCGTGGTGGCCGCAGTGTCTCCATGGCCCCGAGCAAGGGACATAGGCCACTAGGGCAGGGACCCTGAGATGACAGCTGCTAGAGTCCGAAGCCAGGGTCCCCCAGGGATCGGGCTCCCCGGGGGATTCGGGACCGTCTCCAGCCAATCAGGCTCCCGCAGGGGACGCCGCGGCCAGACCGCCCGTCCCCGGG